TAGCCAAAAATTATTACTTGACACGAATTCCATAATTAAAATCAAGTAATCCTTTATCACATCTTGCTGTGCAACAAAAAAACCTGTTCTCAAAGACACTCTTTGAAATTAAGTAAGAGCATGAAAAATAGAAGACAAAGCACTAAGAAAGCAAATCTTTAAAGAGTTTCTAGGGAGAGCAAAACCACCATCCACAAGTCGTAGCACAGCAAACGACGCATTTCAAACAAAGAACAAAAAAAAAAAAATGGTTGCAAATGCAGATTATGCAATATTTAAGAAGTAAAACTACCTGAGGAGTTACCAGAGACAACATACATATGCAGCACTTTAGAAACAACTAGTTCTGTAGTGGTGGTTATGTGGTCAAGGCGTTTCCTTGGTGTGTGTACATACGGCGGGCAGCTCCCTCCGAGATGTGAGGACACCCTCCCTCGTACCACAAGAACAGAGGGTGAGTGCCTGGTGAGGTCACCAAAACACTGACATACATTGTGCATATCTCCATTTTTTTAGAATATGTCATTTTTTTTTTTTTTTTTTAACTTGAATCAGTGCCTTGAGTTACTGGCTAACAGACTGTACAATCGTGTCCCTTAGAAACTGGATCTGACTCTCTGTTTTCTGCTCGGTTACTAAACCCCAGTTGCAGAGACACCCTCACTGCCCAGATGTTGAAGGGAACTTGTGTACTCACAACACAGAAAGATTAATGCACGTGTAAAATTCTGCAGGATCAGCACCTTGATATGTGGTCGGAGTATTGGGCTATTTATTTTTGTCAAGTTTATTGAGTGCCTTGGAAAAATCCCATTATAAATAAAGCAGCATGCTCTTAATAAAACTTCACATGCATGGTAAGTTTTCAATTTATACTGGGGCTTATATACATAATAAATTTTTTTATTTTAACTCCATGTTTTAATTTTACTTCACGCGTTCATATATTTACTTCCCTTGTACTTATGCTCAAACTAAAAAAGCTCCTCCATTTATTTCTTCCATTTCCTAAACACTAAAAGAACTACATGTTTAAAAACTTGCTTTTATGCTTTGAAATCTCATACTGGAAGAATCCATTTACACTGAAAAACACCAACTTCAGGCTCCATTAACTGTGCCACCGCAAAAATTCAAAAGGGTCACAGAAGCAATAAGCAAATATCCCATGAAACACTCCCAGACAAGCACTGTTTTCCAATCTATCCAGCTCCCAGTTCAAAAAGCTCAAGTGCCATTATCAGGCTATGCTCAAGCAATATTTGCAGGTTTTAGTCAATAGAACTTTGGTATTTAGGAGCATTTGAAGACCTGACCCAGAGCTGCTTAAAATTCAGGTTAGCAAGTTTAACTTTCAACTGTTTCAGTTCCTTTGGTTCTGAGGTAGAAAAATAAATAAATCAATCAAAAGCTTATTTTAGTTACCAGAAGTCTCTAACTTGTAACTGTTACTTATTTTAAAAATTGAATCACATTTGAAGACAACAACGTTAATAATTCAGCATTAACCTGATCCTGTAAACATCTGGTAACACTGTAAATTTGAAGAAATTGCTGTCTTCAACAGAAAAAAGTACTCCAGATAAGAGTTCCTGCTCTTATACTTTCGCTGGTATTAATAGTTTTTGAAATCTAGTGCACATCCTCCTGATAATTTTGAGTTTCTCTCTTTTTTATAGAAAAATACCAAGATATTTATCTGCTGATTTCCAGCTCCCGCTAGCCCAGCTAAAAAACCATCACAAGATAAAAGAAGAGTTTCTAGCAATCCTTAATTTGATTTGAAGCACTTAGTTTTGATGTAAGTACTTCCATAATTTCATCTTGATTTAGATTTGCAATGCCTGCTGTAGTGTGGCACTTATTAATTAAACTGATTAAGGGTCTTCAGCTGTACCGTGGGCCCTCCACTCTTCCACCCACTTTGCTCCTGACTGTCATTAACCTCTAGGAAAAGCCCTCTTTGTTGGTCATTATTGTTTAATTATGCTTTACAGTTGTGTCATCACATCTGTGAAATACAACCTCCCATAACAACACAGCTGTGGAATATGATACTCCTGCCCAGCAGTAAAATCCTGGTTGCAGCAGATTAAATGTACACACGGTGCTGATGGAGGAGGTGATACGAAGCTTTTTGAAGGCCCTTGATTTTGAACAGGTCTGTTGAGACAGGAGGTACGTAGAGTCTTCAAGAGAGGTCTCAAACTCTTCCTCTTTCCTCCCTTCCCCACCCCTCCTGACAACATCCTCTGCACATTTCAGGAATAACTACTTCTAAACTTAGAAAACTTCACAAAGAGAAGTTTTATACAGAAATAGTGAAGCGAGAAGAAACCTCAGAAACAGAATTTATGAGCTCAGAATCTATTTTTTAACAAATACTATGAATTACAGCTGAAAGGCACTTTTTCCTGGAACCCTCTGCTTCCATTCATGATCTCATGATGCACAAGCATTTCCTTTGCATGTAATATAACGGCAGCAGTGACTGCAGTGGTCCAAAAGAAACAGGACTTTGCACATTTCTGCCGTCCTTTGCAGGTGGGGGGAAGAAAGGGGGGCAACTATCCAAACCACTGGTTCTTAAAATATTACAGCAAGAGCTCCCTACATCACAAGGACCTCCCTCTAAATTAACGGAATGACCATTAATTCCTGAAATGTAACATAAACTGTACATTCTGCTGGTACACAGAGAAGGTGGGGCTGTGTGAAACAGGGCAGGAGTGTTACCACAACATACAGGACAATTCACAGTTTCTTCTGCAAAGGTTGTGTACTACAACCTGTCCTCACTTTGTCCTCCTTTTGACAACATGAGCTGGCAGTAAGCACACAGGATTCTTCACAGAAAAGAAATGGCACCAGCCAGCACTTTATGTTTACTGGGGAGGGAGATTTGTGTGTGTCTCTGTGTGTGTGTAGCAGGGTGACTGGGAGGGAATTGTCTGATTTTTCAAGAGTGGACATAACAAGATAACAGTAGACAGTTTAAAGCCTCAATCAAGATTGTGTATACCAAGCTTCAACAGGATTTTCTTTTTCCTGGTCTGGGTTACAAACCCTTGACTGGCCAGTAAGGAATTGTTTACCTGTTAGAAGCAAGGGGGCAAATTCCTTTAGATTGATGCAAAACATTTTCCTACTCTGGAAGTCAGAAAGGGAGGAGCATCAAGTTTATTTATGTAGCTCAAACAGCGGTCAAGCTAAGAGGATGTCTTATTGTGCAGAGTTCATAACTGAACATTAAACTCCTCCCTTTAAAGCAATGAAGAAGGAAAACTACCATTCCCACTCCAGAAGTCACGAGCAAAGTGGAGGGAAATATGCAACCAAGTTGCTGCTTGAGAGAGTTTTCTATCACAATGCTTATGATTAACCAAGTGAAGAAACAGAATGGCAGGGAGGAGAGAGCTTGCACAGATAAACCCAGAGCCAGAGGGAATGACAACAGAAATGCCCTGGGCTTCGGGTGGTCTTGTTTTACACAGCCAGATTAATTAAAGAGACACTAAAGGACATCTCTTTTAGAAAATGAAACACGTTACAAACCAAAACGCCTCAGAGAGCAAGCAGCTAGGGAGTTATAACTAAATTACTAAGTACAAAATGAAGCAGCCTGAAGAGGAAACGAGTAATTAAAAAACCCTCCCTTGAGCTACAGGCTGGTGAGCGAGGGGTAACTCCAGGACCCTGGTGCTGGAGGTAAACAGTACCAAAGCAAAAACGTGACAGGCGAAAACAGATGTTTTATACAAACAACAAACCCCCAATCTCCTGACTTTACAGGGCATTTTCACTCAGAGATGGCATTAGACACAGTCTGCCTCGTACAACCTGAAGAGATGCAGGTAGGAATTACATCACCCACCAGTACCACGCTGCTGCCCCGGGGCGAAGCACTGCAGTCGCTGGACAGTGCTCAGCAAACATAAACAATGTTTTCAGAGGAAGAAACAGATTAATGTCAACCTCATTCTTCTTTCTGCAAGAGAGTTTAACAGAGCACAGACAACCACCTCCCTGCTAGCACAGAAACCCTTCTGTAGCCCTCCCCTCTTCCTCAAGGACGGAAATACACCTTGGGCACCTGCTGTCCACGTGTCCTGGGGAGCAGCATCACCCCTGGCCTGCCCTGACTCCTTCATTTTTCTGTTGCCTCAGAGAAACACCAGGAGGAACACCCAACTTGCCAACCCTTAAATAAGCACTCTGGCAAAGTGGTTTCCAACTTTTTCCACTAGATCTTTTCCAGGCAAGACAAGCCCTGGGCGCAGCATGTTCTAGCTGACTGACAAGAGTCCTTCTTCACTGATTTGTCTTTTTGAAACAAGGTCCACCAGTTGAACATGAGCCTGTTGGCAGGTGGGCATGGAGGATGATGACTCTGGGCGACAGCCCGCAGCGAGGGGCTCACACTTTTTGCCCAGAGGGAGCAGCCCCAGTCCCAATGAACATCATCCCCTTTCTCAGGCATAGATGGCAGCGAAGGTAAGGACATCCCCTGCTAAAGTTGAGGTGGATCCCCTGGCTGTCTCCAGGCAGACATCCCTCACCGCCACCTCAGGCCCTCCATCAGCTGAGTGTCCCTCACCCACTGTGACCAACCTCAAGCGAGGGGACCCTGAGATGAGCAGGGGGATCTCTCACCACCTCCTTATCACCTGTGGCCCCTCACCACCACCTGAAGCCCTCCAGCTTCTTCAGAGGCAGACCCGCAGGCCCTTGGTGGGCAAGGGGGATCCTTTACTGTCTCCTTCATCAGCGGGGTCACCCTCACCGCCACCTTAGGCCCTGACAGACCCCCATCCCCTGCGCGGGGGCACCTCGCAGCCCCTCGGTGGGGGCGAGGGACCCCTCACACCCTTCCTGGGAGCCCCCTCTCCGCCCAGCCCCGCGTCCCCTCCCCGGGGCGGAGGGTCCCCGTCCGGCCCCTCGGGCCGTCCCTGCCCCCCGGAGCGGGCCCGGCCCCGCCGCCCCCGGCCCCCGGCACTCACTGCGGCGGGAGCTGCAGGGCCGGGCCGCCGCGGCGCTGGAAGGCGCCGTCCACGAAGACGCCGTTCTTGCCGAGGCAGCGCAGGTAGAAGTGCGGCTCCTGGAAGCTGAGCTGCAGGTGCCGCCGCGAGATGAAGCTGGAGTGCCCCATGTTGACGTCCACCGACCCTTGCGAGGAGTTGCGGCCTATGGTGACGGCCGGCTGCCGCATGAGGAACTCGAACTC